ACGTGAGAGCCAAGTTGCAACAGGAATTGCAGTGTATCAGAGGATACCACAAACCCTCAGGGGAAGATATCACTTCTGAATTACTGGAGTTGTCTGAATGATAATTTACATGTAAATTCAGGTCTTATGGGCCTGTGTGCTGTCCAGACCAGGAGCTGGTGGAAGTATTGCTCCATCGGTTATCTGTAGTAGGTGCACAGGTGCCCCAACACTGTATTTGCCAGAGCTGTGCTGAGGTTGCTGTTTGCAGAGAGGTGTTCAAGAACATTTGGTCTCAACCAGGTGTGTAGTCTCAAGGGTGCCTTGTGTCTATTCCTTTCAACCTGCAAAACCAGAAAATCATGGTGTAGCAAAGCACAGGGAAGGTAGCCCAGCAGGGCTATCAGAGTGACTGCTGCAATACGCCAAAGATGTTTGGCCCTGTGGATCAAAAAGGACAGACCTTTCTGGGGATCCAGGACACCCAGGATCTCAATCTTGATGGTGTGATGTAAAGGGAAACAAAACAGGTCATCTGAACACCTAGTTTGAAGGAAAATGTCATAAGCACGGGAAAAGCTTCAGATATCTGAAGGGGCCTCCTACTGATGAAGAAGTTTGCTAAGGATGATCTGCCATAATTTTTAATATGTGCCCAGCAGAAGCAGTGGCTATCAGGAGGTCACCTTCATGAATAGCTGTGGCAGTGAGTAAGACATCCAGAAACGCAAAGGAGGCTGCTGTGACAGACATCAGCCCTGCTGAGGTGTGGCATGCTTCAGGAAAAACCTTAACTAGGGCCCACAAAAAAACCATGAGAACTGTAGGATGTGGAAATCTTTAAAGAGGCTTTACTGGAGGGTAATCTGTGGAAATCATCCACAAAGAACTGAGTCCCTCACCCCTAGCAGACAGCACAAAATAATGGAGATGAAAGTCCTATAAAGGAGACCTGGACTTCCCGAACAGTGGGAAGAGAACGCAGAGTCTGTTCTCTTCCCGTGGGTGGCCACCAGGCCTCTGCCAGCTGCTCGCCAAAGATGAACATATTTCACCCAGCACCTACGCTGTGAGGGAGGACAGGTTTGGATAGCGGGTCCTCTGTGAGCAGCTTGGGCAGGAGGGGAAGGGGCTTTGTTTTTTTTCCTGCCACATTAGGAAAGCTAGGAAGCAGAACTGTTTTGTCCAGGTGGAGGCATGCTCAGTTATGGTGCTCTGTCTGAGGACCCTGGAAGTCAGCCAAAGGAGGGCGAGGCATAAGTTATCCCTCTGAAACACAGGATTTGGAAAGAACCCAAGTTCAGCCCTGCCTTCCACAGAATATCTGGCATTTATAGTTAAACTTGGGAGCAGGTTGACCTCAAATCACTTTGTCCTCAAATATGATCTCTAGAAGATCAAACCCTAACTCCCACTTGTAATGCAGGGCTTAGAAATGACTGAGACCACCTCCCAAAGTGATCAGCCCTCCTGATAAGCAGACTACTGACAGATGGGTCTGAGGGTGTTGACATATCAGCTCCAAAGCTTGTTTACTTCCCAATACAAAAAGTTGCTCAGTTTCTCTGGGATCCTAAAACCATATTCAGCAAAGAGAGCTTGGCTGGCTGCCCTGCAGAGCCCGAGCTTTGGGGTCTTTGGCATATTTCTTGGCCCATAAATTGTGGTGAACCAGCACTTAAGTGTGCATGCATGCATGGCTCATCATCCAAGACTTGACAACCATTTTCTTGTCTGGGGTCCTCAGACACTGTCAAGGCAGAGGAAAGCAGGGGTTTGACAGATCCTCTGTTTTGATCCATTCTCTCTGAAGCGGCTCTGGACTTGTACACCCACAGGATACTCTGATACTCTATGGGCACAGGAACTGAAGCACTACCCATAACCACTGTTGGTAGAACCCAAAACCCCCAAGCCTTCCCTTTGAACTGAACTTTGTGCGTAGCAGTATAACATAGGAGGAGTCGTACTGAGTCAGGGCAAAGGTCCGTTTAGCCCAGTGTACCTGTCCAGTGTCAAGTATTAGTAGTTTAGAGCCCTAGCTTGACGATGTTTCTTAAAAACCATTGTGTTTATTAGCCATTTATGGACCTTTCTGCAATGATTTTGTGCAATCCCTTTCTAAGCCCTTTTGCACTTTCCAGCCCCTGCACCACCTATGCCATCAGGTTCTGCAGTTCAGTTTAGCGCTGCCGAAACACACTTGCCTGTATTGAAACTACCCTGACAGGTTTGTTGTGTACCTCTCGGTACCTGGGTTATGAGAGAGTGAAAAATCACTTCCAGTTCACCTTTTCTGTATCATTCACGATTAGATGGACTTCTGCCCCACTCATGCCTTTTCAAATGGATACTTCTAGCATATTTAGTCTTTCACCAAACAAAAACTGCTCCATTATTTTTACAGATCCTTATCACCCTTCGCATTGTTTCTTACTGTCTTTAGAAATAAAACCGAGCAAGTTCTGGAATATGTTACTTTTTAATCTGAAAGGAAGGTACTTCCTACTTAAATGAGTGTTGACAAACAAACAGCTCAAGGGGCCGTAAGAATCTGACTCATCTCACTGCGTTTCATGTTTCTGTTCAGTGTCTCTTCGTGTTTGATACAGGCAATGACAATGCAACAAGCCAGGCCACATTATCGCTTCTTGGGATCTATTCAGTCCTGCAGCTGGACTCTTCTGCAGTACGGTCTTGCCTTTTTCAGTGTGTGGAGAGTTGTGGTGCTTGAATAGAGCTTTCCAAGAAGAGTAGCGCTTTTATTATGTCTGCCCATGGAGCCATAAGCTGCATTAGCCGTGTTGTTTAAAACTGGCTGTAATTTCAGCTATTTTGGGATCTTGCCTGTGGGCAGGTGGACGTAAAGGTGGGAGTTAACCCACCCAGAGTGGGTGGGTCTGTTCTGCAGAGGCTGGAGAAAGACTGCAAATTTATGCACGAGGAACCAAAGCAATGAATTGCAGCATGAGCTTGTCCATCGTTAAGGTAAGTCCACAACCCTCTGTCCTAGCAGTGATGAGCATGATAGAAACTTCTCTGAAAGGTTTGCACAGACTGACTCCAACATGGAGATCAGTATCTAAGCCTATGAGCAGACAGGCGCGTGTGCTAACGTGAGGATATAAAAGCTGCCTAGACTTCAGTACGTTTTTACAGCTTCCCTTCAGTAACTCCTTTACCTTCTGCATTTCTACAACCTCTACCCTCTTCACTGTAACCCCATCCGACCTTCCAGGATAGTCATCCAAGAAATGAGAAAGATTTTAAGAATGAAGTGGCTGAATTGCTAACAAAGATCACGAAAACACTCATTATAAGCAACACCTACAAGGATGCTGGAAAGGCAGCAAATATTTTATCAGTTTTTGAAAGACTGGCAGGACAATTACAGGCTTCTAAAGCAAGCATTTGTTGAAGTGTTAATTATACCACGTAGGTGAACAAGTGGCAAGCCATAATAGAGGTAAGCCAGTTCTTGTAAAACAAAATCGTGTCTTCTTCTGATAGGACTTTTAATCTTTTTCAGACATTCGAACTGCACTTGTCAGAGTTCCTCACAAGAACCTAACAGTTAAATAAAGTGAGGAGTCCACTGCAAAAGCATTTTTCATTTGCACAAAAACAGAGACTTGAAGATTAACCTAATCTGGGGAAGCATGTCAGGACAGAATATGAAAAAAAAACCCCCAAGTGTAAGCTGCCTTTTAGTACAACCGACCACAGAGTACCATTCAGATGATAAAATTATGACACAGGTGCTTAAATAATCCTGTACTCCATTTGCAAAGAGGAAGAAGGCACAAAAGGTTAAAGAAGAATGCTTTTATTCAGCTTTCAGCTCTCACAGTTCTAAACAGTAAACACAATTAACAATTCACCCATGGTACCGGAGAACATAGTCCTGGTATCAGTAAAATGTCTACTGTTTAAGGCACTGGTAGTGGGAAATAAAAAGAAAAAAAAAGACATAATATGGATTGCTCCTATTTAATCAGATTTTGAATCTATTAAGAATATGTGCTTGCTATTCAAGTGCTTAAAATTCCACAAGCTACATTCACAAACAAATGTTTATACAACTTCAGTAATTACTGAAACAGGACTCAGTGGCTCCCCTACTTTGACTTAAGAGCAAGTATTGCATTACTTTGGAGTGGAATCAATTTTTAACCTACTAAAAGAAAACAAAACACAAATTACTTTAGCAGTATGGCTTTAAGACCCTGTATTTGGTTACAATATAGCAAGTGAAGTTAAATAACAGCATACAAGCGCCATATACTGTCATCTTAAAAGGAGCAGTTTTACAGTATAAAAATTAGTTTAGAATGTACTAAAGCCAGTTTTTGTACAAACATTTTTACAAAACTGAATTACTCAAAGAAAAAAAATTAAGAACATTTTAAATATGAAACACTCTTTACATGTCGTATGCATAAAATTACTTATCTTGATGATATAAATTAGGAATACTACAAAATATTAAAGCTGGGATCCATATACTATTGAAATGCACACATCAGAAATACTGAAGTGTTAGTTCTGCAAAAATCCTTAAGAGTCACATTTATACTTGCCAAATAGATACACGGTGACTTAGGTTTCTAAAGGAGCCACAGTGACCTCCCGTGGCCACTTAAGAAATCCCTGTCCTTAACCTTTTTTTCGATTTTGAACATGACATTCCTCACAAATGCTAATAAACTTAAAAGGTACAACAGTGGTTCGTGTTTGGTCCACCTTTACCAGGAAACGACAATGTTTCTATTTGAAAGGAGTATAAAGGAACACAGCCTTCACACAGTCTAGCTCCTGGTCACAGAAACGGTGTCATGTCTCCTCTCTGATTTATCAAGAACCTGTTCCAGAACAGTTTAGACAACTGTTTTCTGTAGGTCAGTGAGAGATGACGTTCAATAGATGTTCAACACATGTTCAATATTAGGCTCCCAAATACATCACTTCAGCTTTTCAGAGAACAAAGGAAGGAGATGTAAATTGATGCTGTCTGACTCAAAGCCCAAACCAGAACACAGAGTTGTACGAGACATTTTAAATGTGTGTCAAGTTCATTGGTATACAAAGCCCAAAAACATTTTAGAAAGAAACCAAGTGTAACAAAGAATCCAAAAGTCAGTTAGGTGCCTTCTTCCATTGCTCTGAAGGAATGTAACAAGCAGGAACAAAACATTGTCTTCTATGTCATGAACAGATGAACAACGTGAGAACACCACAAAAATCACAGTAGTGACTGTCTCTCATCTGCAGTACGTTAATCAACACCTAAATTCTTCTACTGCTTATAAATCCTCCCTGTTATATCCAACTTTCTTTCCGTTAAGTGACTCTTCTGTGCTTGGTGCCAGCCATGTGAAATATACCTTCACTGGATCAATATTCCAATGCTTGTGAAATGATACTGGGATTTGGTGAGAAAGGTAGCCTTTTGGGTAGTCCATTGGCCGTGCCTAAGATGGAAGAATAAACCAAAACCACTAGTACTCAGTGATGAAGAATAATTTCAGAACAAGAAAGTATCACCATTCAGTGGCCTCTGTATCATAACAAAGCAATGTGGCATTGACAAAATAGACAAGATAACAAAGGGGTTTTTTACATCATTCTATTAAATCAAAGGATAGGCATCAGTTTAGATCTTAAACTCGTGCTGTAGTCATCATGCTATGAAGTACACCGATATTAAATATGCCCTACTGCTCAGGAGGAAATGGGCACCATCTATGAAAGCAAGTGATAAACAGTGTAGTTTGTATTGCATCTGTTTGAAGATACAGTTTGGACTCAATAATGAGAAAATTATTTTAAGTAATATTCTCTTGTTCCTCTTAATGAGAGTCGCCAGCACTGCCAGCGTGATTGTAGGATCCTAATAAGGCCGTAAGCAGACGAAATAGATCAAGTTTTATGATTGGGAAAGGTTACCTACCAGGAAATATTGTGGTGCCGGAAAACTGCATTGTTATTCTTTATCAGGTTTTATCAAAAGAGACAGAATTACAACACAGCCACATCACGCAGCTGACTTCTTAATGCAGCAAGCATGTTTCATGTCCTCTGACAGTTAAATGGCATGTAAGTGCATCATTATATAAAAAAGCCCCACCTGTAGTGGTCCCTGGTAAAATAACTAGATTTTGCCATTGTAAATAGAGTTTTTGTAAAGAGAAATGCATGAAATGTACACATGCATTTTTTTCTAGATGTAAAACACATGAAGAAAATTGAGTGATTTGGATACTGAATCGCTGATTTGATGCCTAAGCTAGTAACTGATCTAATACTGCACACTTCACCTACTTATGGCAGTATTAATGAATTCTACATGCTCATTCTTCATGCAGTTCCGTATACACTCCAGTCATAAAGTTAGGCAACAGAATTTGACATTAAGAAATCTGAATGTGTGTTGTTGCTGTTTTTTTTTTTTAATTTTGATATTTAAACCAGAGTGCTTATTCTTAAAAATTCCACTGAAGAAATCAAGAGGGAGCCTGTCCCCCTCAAGACTTTTGAAAAAACTTTAATGAACATGTAGGTTTCAAAAACCTGAAGAATTTACTTTGGATCGATTTTAGATATCTGAGACCAAAGATTTCTGCTGTTTGAAAATCAATCAGCTTTTTATTGTGCTATAGACAAAATTTTGGTGTTTTGATAATTCTGGAAGAATGAGATCTGCTCTAATAACTATTGTTTTTATTACATTGCTCTCAGAATCATACCTCTTTATAGGTGGTTGACCTTAAGATATAAATTCCATTAATTTCTTCTTCCTTACATTTTGTGGAAACAATTATTGCGATCTTTGCTTTTTTTGTGCTAAATTTGCATTTGGTATTCTACAAAAGCCAAATACGTTGCTCTTGCCCAGATTTTATATTTTAAGACCACAACCCTGGCTGCCACTCAACATGGGAAGCTTCCTGTTCTCTTCAAGAGTCTCATCGTGTCAAAAGCCTCTGGAACAGGTTTCAGAATACATATCTATCTTAGCATGTAGCAAACAGGAAACCAGTAAGAAAGAGCAAACACTGTTATATCATAGATACTCTAAGGATGAAGATATCTTTGCTTCTGTTTCCTAATATAATCTCAGTGCCATTTTGGATTCGTGTACTTCAGGGAACATTGTACATCATAATATTTCAGTCAAGTCTTTAAAAAATAATTTTCTGGTTGACAGAAAATCCAATTTTGTTTTTCTCATTTTTAAAATATTTGTTGCATAATAGTGGAATTCATAGAATCAGCACTGAATATTTGAATAGAATCAATTTCTATTCAGTAGTTTCCCCCCCAGGGTTAATTTCTGTTCAAGGTATGTTAAATTAGAATTTGTTATAAGCGACAGTAAAGATGAATTACAATTCAAGTGTAATTTTCTGTGTGGAAAATCAAACTGCTAGGATTTCACTTTCAAAGTGATTCAGTAATTTTGATTTTTAAAGAAGTTGTGCACTGTTTAGGAAAAATCGAAAGTGCTTCTTCTCTTTAATGCCATGGAAGGAAGGTAAACAGATGGAGTCCAGCGACAGATGGAGTCCAGCTGTCTCGCAGGGGGAAAAGGGTCATTGCTTACGAATTGGCAGGGCTCATTGAGAGGGCTTTAAACTAGGTTCGAAGGGGGAAGGGGACAAAACCGGGCTCGCTAGAGAAGGTAAAGTGTTTATTTGGTTTATGAGGCGGCAAATCTCTGAGACTCAGTGCATTGTGTTTTCCACTGTGACACGACAGTTAGATCGTTAAATATTCTGGAAGACAGAAACAAGATTCAAATCTATTCCAATCCACTTCTCCTAAACTAGAGAATATACTCAGAAGAAAATTTTGTTTTGTGACCTCCTTTTCCCTTGTGCTAGCATAGGGCAATTTATCATATTTATACCATTCTTCAGAATCCACCACAAAAGCAACAGTTCTGGGAATACTTTTATATTTTATATCTTCACTAATGAGATATTTCAGAATAGTAAACACTGAATCAATAGAAAAATCAGATAAGTAGAGAAGACAAATTTACTGAAAAATTTCACAGTCAGTTCTCCATCACCTGAAGAAAAAAGTATTGTAGTGTGGTTTTTTTTCTTTTCTTAGAGGACATATCACAAGTATTCAAAGTATGTGGCTCCTAATTCTATTTGTTTCTCAACGTCCCCACCTCTGACTGCATTTTTTATAAAATGCATTTTTATAAAATGTAGTCGTAGGGTAACTTTAATAAACTATTAAAGCATTGTAATAATCCATGCTTTGAGAATATTCTTATTTGCTTGATAGAACTTGTTCTGGAGAGAAATAAGGTATAGCAGCAGCATCTTGGTTATAGTTATTACACATTGATCAAGTTTGCAATATTTATGAGTCCTGTTTTATGTGTATACTTAAAAGAATGAAATGTATTTTAAATACTAGTAAAAATAACTCTCTGACCTGGTGGAAAAGTGGACTATGTGTTATAGGGATTCCTAAGCCACTGAAACACATCCCAAGGACCATATCATCGGGAGCATCCGTGCTGTAACATCGGCATTTACTAGCAAGTAGTTTCTGAACAGCTATTCTGCTGAAAACCATCCTGAATAAAAAAAGCAAATGAAACATATAAGACAATAACTACTGGAGAAGCCAAATGACTGTAACTAATAAATATTGCTAAATGATATAAAATTGCAAGACAAAATGTAGCCCTCTGGTACAACATATCTGAAATGTCAAAATTGGAGAAGTCAGTACTGACAAGTAGTGCAAGAGGCATTTTCTGAAAGATAATTACTTTATATAATGAAAATTAATTATACCAATTATGCCAATTGTTGTTATTACAACAATTACTTAGCTAGCCACCATTTTTACCACAGCTGATAATTCCTCCTACATTTGGCCAGGACTTCAAAGGGATATTCTCCTCTATCTTACTCAAATGTATGGTCCTGTTAGTTATCATGTAGCGATTAAATGAAAAGAACTCTAAACCTGAACTGTCATTCCTTGAATCCTCTGTTCTCTCTGTAAGTGAAAAATGTTCCTTGAAGCCATTGCAAGGCTCTTCATACTAACTTCATCGCTCATCTAAATAACAACCAAAGCCTGGACCTGTTAGATCATTATCACCAAAATAAGCCTTCAATAGACCAGAAACATGATGATGTCTTAAATTCAACAACTGAGGGAATCTACTCCTGTCTAGTATTCCTATAGCTGCCTTTTCTGAAGTTACATCATCCACCCAGTCCGATCAGAATACAGGGTACTCTAGCTACTACAAGTTATACTAATGAGATTCACACTGAAATCACTACATGGCTTTGTGAGTTCATTCACTACATGACAATCCTTCGCTTGACACTGGGACATAGCAAAACTTCTACAAATACCAAGGCTAAGGCAAAAAGACTGACCTGAGAATACTGTCAGATTAAAGTTGTAAAAGACGCCATCGCTATCACTGCAACTTTGAAGACTGCATGTATTATAAAAAGAAAAAAAATGGAGAGCACGATAGGAAGTCGTATCTCAGTACTCAGATCAAATAGAGAAGGAATAATAAGCTAGAGCCTTGAAAAAAAAAAAGAAAGAAAATAAAAAGAGTTGGGACTTGTGACCAGCATGTGTTGCTACACGGAAGGTGTGACACAAATTGCACACATTTGGGGAATATACTTGCTAGCTGATTATCTGGACTGTGTCGCTTCAGTTATATAGAATTCTTCAGTTAAAACGAACCTTCTCAGAAGTAGGGTATAGAGCAAGATACATGATCTGTGCCTCTATCTGCTCAAACCTATGAATGAAAATAACCCCCAAACTTCCACATCTAAATGACAGAATAGAAACTAAGAGATAAACACTAAAAAGATATAGAAGTATAGGACCAACAACCAAGAAACATACCAGGACCAGTACAAGGTTTGTTTCTTAACTCAAGCATAAACCCTCCTTACGTAAGATCTTATGCAACTATGCAAAACAATGAGAAGGCCAGTCAGTTGATTTTTACTTACTCGTGGATGGATAAGAATCTAATAAGTTATTATAGCCATTACTTTTCACAGAGAAGGACACTACGGACATTCAGACGTCCGCACTACTTGCTTTAGACACACAAGATGGACAGATCAGAGACTTAAGATTGTTCTTATTGCAATATAAGCCAACCTGAAAGTTCATATACATGTTAATTTAAACCAAATTTTGCATATAATCACAGGGATCCTTGTGTCCCATGCATGAGATCAACTCACAATGATCTTTTTCTACGAGAAACTATTTTCCAGGACATCAACATCAAACTCCTTGCTCAGCCACCTCTCCAGAAATCAGCACATGAAGTTCAAAAACAGAAGGAGAATCACTATCATTTTTCTCCATGCTTGGACAAAGAAAGAGAACAGGAACAAATATTTTCATTGTGGCAATTTGTATCCCCAGGTGTGCTGCTTTGGGTTCTCCCGCAAACTCCACAACAGTTCAGATCATGAGTGTATTTTTTTAAGCAACTATCCCAATTGTCTCTGCTTACTACACTTTGAATCACATTGTAAGATGGTCTCTGAGTATGCAGAATGAATTCTATCAGATGAAACAAGGCTGCATGATGTGTATCAGGAGAACATGTGGTGCAGATAATAGGCACTCAGTTCACAGGACCAGTCAAGACAAATTGACCCCCCTGAAATATGCATGGTCCTCAGCACCAACTGTTATGCTCTACAAATCTGTTCCCAATGGGGAGCACAACTTCTTACTAGTTAGGACATTTAGGTCTTTGAGCATCATTACATTTTAATCGTACTAGGAAAGATCACTGTTTCTGTTGAAACTGATCTGTGTTGTAATTCAAAACATTTGCATTCAAAGCAGGGACTGATGTAGGTCTCAGTAGGAGTTAAATAAATTACCCTCCTCCACCAGTGATATAACTATATCCTCCTGTTCCCAAGCCGTAACCGTAACGCTCTCCGAGAAATACTGGTTCATTTGGGTCATAGCAGCTGAGCAATTTTCGGAGTCTGAAGATACTAGAATATGAAAATTCATTTAAAAAAAAAAAATCATGTAGACATTCATTTTGAAACAAGACATTGCTAGCCTAAATGGCATTCTAGTAAATAGCACAAAAATGATAAGAGTAATTCAGAAATTCTACAAAAACCAGAGATACAAACTTTTAAACAGAAATTTAAGATGGGTTATTTACTACGAGATATGATCGCTGAATTTGGTCAAATGATGAATCAATTAGCTTAAAATATTTTTCTGAAGCAGGCAAAGTTTCTCAGCAAAACTGAGTCTCATCTCAGAGAAAACATGAAATTATTTTTCCAAACAATGGTAAGATCTTTGCAAATGATCTTTTCTCCCTGGGAATTGAAAAACAAAAAGGTAGATTTAGTTATACAAATATTGCTTTATCTACAGTTATAGCCTCTTCCAAATTCTTCTTCTGTCACATTATTTAATGTAAAGTATTGTCTTGAACCACTTATTCTCATGTTCGTGACCATGTGATCCCGCTGGTTGATCACTGTGCCTTATTTTGCTTATACTGCAGTGTCAGTTTTCATGTGAATGTGATCTAATTTTCTAACAAAGGCAAGTCCCTGGACACCGTTCTGGGTGGCTCTGACAACTGACCCTAGTTTACGGAACCTTTCTTCTGGCACATTTATGTGAGGAACACATCTTAGAAAGCGTATTAGCAAACGACTAAACCCAAACAGCTCAGACATATCTACACTGAAGAATCGCAACGCGTAATCATATTCAGACTATATGATTACATAATAACACTAATGTGCATAGTTTTTATCAAATTACAAGATTACATTGTTTTTAAAATCAGTCAAGGAATGCTGAAGAAAAGTGACAATTTTTTTCCTTAAAGGAATATAAAGCTACATAACTAATAAAACAGCTGTATCTCTTAAATACAGAATAAGAGATGAATATTGCTAAAACTCCTATTGACATGAACAGTGGTAATTCCTGAAGTATTGCAATGTATACCTTATCAGTGTGTCATCATCCACTATGACTAACCAAGGAGTTCTGGGAGAGCTATGATTCAAAAACCTTTCCAAAATGGCAAAAGTTTTGCCACAGTGACCTAAAGGAAGAGAAATAACAGAATATATACATTTAAATAAAACGAGATTTTGTAATAACAATTATTCATGAATTAAATAAATATTTTACGGCACTATGCAAAACATTTTGGAAATGACTGGCAAAATATTTGAGATGCAAGTTTGAATTACATCCTTTGTTGTGCTGAATGGTGTTTGTACAAATTATTCCAACACAATCATTGCTTTCTATGTAGGAACGTACTTTTGAAGGATGCTGAAGTATGGAAATTCTTTGAATTATGGAATCCTGAAAAATAAGCTATATTCCAGCTGTCCTGTTAAGCTGTTGGACAATACTGGGCAATCTGCTACTCTTAATTTTGAAAACGGTAAAATGAGGAGACTGATAGAAACATGTTCTGCAAAATACTCCAAGATATTTTCATAGCATTTCATGATACATCAGGCAAGTCCATTGCTTCTATATAAATATTTAACTCTACATTAATCTACCATACTCATCACCAGCAACTCAGGTCCTGATAGCTTCCTCCAAGGAAAGGTCTTAACATTTATCGCAAGACTATAATGAGGTTGAGAGGTAAAACACCTTTTACTAGGAGTTGAGAAGTGAAACACCCTTGTTCAGAATGAGCAGGACAAGAGAAACAAGAAGTTTCAGACTTCTACCGAATCTTCTTTAGATCTTAGAAAAATCTAATTGCAAATAGTCTTTATTCACCTAAATAACAGTTGATTGTCTAAAGCAATTATCGCTATCAATATTACAATTACTAGACAAGCATTAAAAAATAAGGATAGGATACTATATTTGAAGCTACTTCCAGCTAAAATATTTTTTGAGAAAATGCAGTAACTATGCTTAAGAAATGAAGGAAGTCCTGGCTTTGCTGATTTTGTGAAACCATGAACTTAATGAGGACTGATATATGAACATCTACAAAATTAAAACCAAGATTTCTGTATTATATTCCATCATGAAAGATGGACAAAAATAGTACTAGAGCAAACTCAGCACAATTTGTTTAGTTTAGAATACCAGTAGCACACAGGTCCCACTGCTCCCCACAGCAACGTTCAAAGGCTGAACATGGAAGGTGCCTTCCTCCTGGTGTGACTAGAACTACTGGGCATGGCTTCTACAGATGATCCACGCATGCTCAGCGGGTCTGCTACCTCCTGAAAACACTCACTGATTGCACATGTCGCACTGCACCTGTGCAAATGGAAATCCCTGCCTGTTCTCTCTTTGCCTCTGATAGACCCTGTGGAGGACAAAAAAAAAAGGGCACCTGGAAAGCTGAAAATAATCCAGAGATCAGAACAACTGACCGAGTGGGCCAGACAAAGCTAACAGGCCACAGCTTGGACACTTCTAATTCAGAAGGTGAGTAATGGCCTGTAGCAGAGACTATAAGCCTAAGAACAATAGATCAAATGAAAGAAAAAGCCCTAAAATTAATAAACTCATGGAAACCATCATACCCATAGCCTTTTTTTCCTATTCAAACACCAAGTAAATTACTTTAAAACCACATTATTTGTCATAAAAAGATCTTCCAATCTTAACATTTAATTTTTGTGCTTAAATCAAGACATACTAGGCACAAACATATAATATTTGAATACCACATGGCAAGTAGTTTATGCTCAGTAATGAGCTGGCACTGTCTGAGGTCTTTGACATAAATCTATGACTTCTGCTACCATTGACGATTTTACTCAACATCATCAGTAACTCAAGAGGTATCACTCTGGGTAAGAGTAATAACACCAATTTTTGTCTCTTGGAGTATATCAGTGTACCACGCTTTCATACTCAGTATTTAGGTTTCTACTAAATAGTTCAGTTCACCTACCTACATAGGTGAACTGTACTCTCTATCCATTTCCTGTGTGGCAAAAGCGTTCTTTTAGTTCAGGCTGCACAAACGTGCTATAGAAATATACAATTTCTAAATTATATACTATACATGAAATATGCATGACATCCATAAAACTTACCATCTTTAGACAGTTACTTGCCCAAAACTGATAAAACAACTGTCAATAGCTCACCTCTGTCAGTATTAGGTACGCCTAAATCTATAGTAGGAATGGAGATGTCTGCGTAATCACTGTAGTATTCGATAAGGGCAGCTTCTCTTTCCCAAGTCTGCTTTACAACTGGTACTGCAAAACAATCGTTGACATTGAAACATAAGTAACTTGACTAAAATAAGTACTTGATCAAAACATTTATGCACCTTGTTAGCTGACATATTCCTTCACATGGTGATGAAAATGCTGTTTTCAAATACAGCATCATGGTTCTAAATGTTCTTTCTTTTTCTTTCCTACAATATTTAGAGAGAAACATTTTTACATTTTTATGAAAGCCAGTCAGGACAGTTTTATTTATATAGTAATAAATTTTCTTTTAAAATATGACTATAGTTTCATTCATATTACACTGAAAACTGTAATGTTTATGTTTATGCTAACCAAAGTATGGTATTCATTACTTTTACACTTGCTCTGGTAGACTTTTTAGCACACATCAGCATGAACACTATCAGAGATCAATCATTCTTCCAGTATTGAAACTGTTGCATTTTAAAAACAGCACACCCAACCGTACAGCGTGTAAAATATTCTGAATCAGAAACAGACCAAACGCACCTTTTGAAATACTACGCTTGTGTTATACATCATATTTGACAGCAACGTCATGTTAATGCTCAAAAGCACCTGTCTCTGGAGACACACTCACAGAAGGACATTTATAAATATCATATAACCAATTTTTATGCTATGGAGATTCTTTTCAAAGGAGGACTGCTTAATGCTTCTCTACAAGAGCAAACCTTTTCTTATGTTTGCCATTTGACATAAACATTTAAAATTGATCATACAAAGTTCTAATAACGATGCTATAAATGTTTAAATTATATCCAGAAGTGAATAAATTATGGGTAACACAAAAAAAGCTGAACACTTGCAGGGTGTTTGGAAGAGAATGATCAGATTAAAATCAATTATTTTTTTCCTTTTTAAAAATTAAATGGTCAGGACTTAGATGAACAGTTACTCTGAAACATCGTGAATTCTGCTGTCAGTGTTTGTCTGCTTTATGTTCTTTGACACCATCTAGTAGGTCTCATTAGTAGCAGCTAGCTCTTTAAATGGAGGAAATATTTACGTAACTTCCCTTTGCTGCTATATAACTCTGATGCTTGTGAACAACTCATTTCAGCCCCTTGCTGGAATCATCCGTCACCTAATTTGATGTCTGCTGCCTACCTACTTGCTCACTTTCCTCTACTCTGATCACACAGACACTTGTAGCATTTATTATTCTTGACTGACCAATGGTCAGTTTGATAAGACTAAAATGACTTGAAAGGTGACAGTTAGGATAGAGTAATAAGAACTCAATGCACTAGTGGAAAGGCTTTAATATTTGGAAAACATATAATTCCGCTTCTGCATCATTGTGCAATGGACGATACTGCTTTTAAAAGTTTTAGATACTTAAAACTGCTCTCAAATTTTTGCATTAAAAAATCCAAAGGGAATTATGTACAAAAAATATGTTCATACAACATGACAGTGGAGTTTTGAAATGTAAAGCCAGGAATTTCACAATACGTTAACTCTACCTCCTATGTACTAAAAAGTCACATTACATCACATAACAACTGCATAATCATACGTTAATTGACAGAGAATGCCACGTAAACTTTTTTTTTCCAAATAAAATAAAAAAAACCCAAAAGTCAGGAAATTATTTTCTTATTTTATGGAAATGTTCTATTTCAAAAGTGTTTCTCAGAAGAATAAAATCGGAAAGCTTTCAGAAAGGCCCCAATACAGAAGCATCACAGATATACAAAATGCTTCCAACCTTCACCTGGCAGAAGAGACACACCTGGAAAGGCTGCTTCACCTTTCTCCAGCCAAGGACCTCAACCTCAGTAGGGTGCTTTAACATACAGAACTATTTGCTATTACAGACTTACAATTTCTTCAGTGGAGTCTCCCTTTTTTGTATAAATGAAAAAAGTTCACTGAAACAAGGACCTGAGTCTCACCTCAGTTAAGTGGTCTAACAAGGAGGCTACTAGCTAAAGTGTCTTTCTCTTTTCCTTCTTTGTTTTGACAGAAATGTCACCATCCAGACTAATGTCTATGGGAAATTGAATCCCACAATACTCTAACTTCTAACAACACATATGTTCCAAAGAAAGAACAACTATATGAAATTTCTGACTAGCTATTGATGCAAATATTTATCAGTATGTATTAATACTTGTGATCACACAGAATTTTTAATACCGCACTAGAGATACTTATAGAAGGCCAGTTCTAAGCTCTTAATTATATTTTATCTACTTCTAGAACCCTGATGCATGTTTGCAGTCTTGAAATCTTCTTATATAACCATATACAATATGTGTATGAAGGAGAGTTATATCTGAATAAGTTCCAAAGTAAAATTTAGCAGCTTTTGCACATCGAGTTCCAAGCCTTAATGTTGCACTAATGTAGTTTTTTGCATACAATAAAAAATGACTTACCAGGTAAAAGGAGCTCTCTGAAGCTGGCATCCATTAATCTTTCAAAATCTTGAGTAAGATTATCCTCTATTGCATAACACTGGAAGCTGTGAGGAAAGTTCAAGAATTTTCCTCAGTCTTCAACAGGTGTTTCTTGAAGGATGTTTACGCTATCTTTTTGAAGCCTTATGTTCTTTACTGACTTTCTAGTTTTTTATTTTTTTATTTTAATTTTGATGTAAGAAAATAAACATGGATCCAGAAAGGAGAACTCTTCAGTGAACTCCAGTTACAGGATAGTCAATTCTGTTTTGTCAAAAGCTACTTGCTAAAGATATCCTAATGATTAGGTGATTAAAATACTGGAAATGTGCCTTCATCAAGTGCAGTAATATGAAGAAAAAAATTACATAAATCATATTTTGAAAAAAAAAAAAGAAAAACAACTGGCTAATAGTCTAAACACAGAAGTGACAGAACCTACAGTTTTGGATGCATTAGCAAAGGGGGGTTTGGTTAAGAAAAGAGCTTTTAACTCCATCCTGTCCTCTAACAATAGGCGTGGCAAAACCCCCACAAAATTTGGTACAACTACTAGCCATTATTTAATTTTCAGGTTTTTTGCCAATAATCACTTTAAATTAAGCTTATGAACAAAGCAAAGTAAGCCTAATGATGACAATATTATGTACCTGCAGTATTCAAGGGCACACAAAATTCAAGTAAATTCCTGGAAATAAATCCATTCCTGAATTTCCTTGTTAACAAAATGTCTAGAAGTAAACTAGAATGGACTGGTAGGTGGCATCAAGTAGCTAGAGCGTCTTCTGTTAAATCAGTGGATTTGGAATTTTTCCTTCCAAGTTTTGTAAACGCTGGATCAATCTCAACTTAGCTGAGCCTTACTGTGTATTAGCTGAAGCTGAGTGTCTCTCTGTGTCTTTATTTTCTGTGCCTCTGAGTAGAAAGTTAATACTCACTGGACGTATTTTGTTTGGCTGTGCTAGGTTTTTTTGTTTGTTGTTTTTACCATGGATATCATGGTCATATTTTCATGGTGACTTTCATTACTTGTGTAACACTACAATTTCCAGATGAAACATGCTATAGTGTTGCACACTTGGAGACTCCTGATCTGGGCCATGGCTTGGACAAAGTACTACAGCTGACCGGATTTCTAAAAAAGAGACAAAACTCCCATTCCAAGGATTATAAAACACCTGTGCACATCCAACTGCATAGAGTGACAACAGATAAAAGCAATACGACAGTGTAAGCTGCTCCATCTTTTATTGGGTGGGAGGGCAGGGCAAAAGGAAGGAGGAGAGGACAGAGCTTTCCGCTTGCTCCAATTTCTAAATACAGCTGCACAATTGTCACACATATTTTTCATTTAGATATTCAGTTTCGAGATTTTTGCCAACCAATCACTAATGATGAAACATCAAACAACCATAACTTTTTGTCTTAAACATCTCACAGCACTCCTGAAGAACTCTGAATAGCAAAAAAAAAAATTACTTAAATTCTGAAGCTTTCATGCTTCCCAGTGCATTTTGAAAATATTTCATTCCAAGAACTACACAGACAGCATATATCAGCTTGTTTTTTAAATATTAATTTAATAAACTATATTGCATGGAACTACTACCTTAACTAATGAACAACTTACTTCTGTCACCATGAAATTTCCGACATGTTTTTACAGCAACAAAAACATCTTCCTTTTTCACTGGCTCTCCCTATATGAACAGAACAAAAATTAATTTTTTAATTGCAGGCTCTGCCTGTAACATTTTATACGATACGTATGGCCATACATATAATAAAACAGAAAATACCTTTTCATTGTATAGCATATCAAGTAGAATAGTGTACTAGTAATACACTAGAAAGTACATTTTTGTCTCTTGAAAAAAAGTCACTAGTGGTTTAAAATTCCTGAAATAACATTATTGAAATACTCTTTCCATTGATGTAGTATTCTAACGTGAACTAAAACACATAATATTAGGAGAAGAGAATGACAGTATAACTTGCTGAACTAAGAACGATTCATCTGAAAAAGAATGTTTTCTTAATTTTTTTTTAAATTAATCACTATGAGAACATGTTGAACTGTACCATACTTGGAAAAAGAAGCTTCAATGCTAAACATTAGAAATCTTCGAATTTTCTCAACTGTAATAAAATCACGTAACTACTTTTATTAGTTTTCCTTTTTGGCATGTAGGATTTTGCCTTCCTGGAAGCATGGAACACTTTTTGGCCTCCAGCAACAGTTAACCCATAATATCATAAATGTATTCTCCTAGAGGTGGAAGATATGGGTTGTACTTTAATGCATCAAATACTATATTACATTTTATCTTTAGCCTCAACAAGTTTTAGATTCCTACTTGTGTAAAAAAAGATTATCTGTACTTCAGCATCTCACAGAAATGTAAGGAGAAATACTTTATAGATTATGGGCTGCTCAAACATTGTGGTAGAAAGACCCATTAAAGCATATGTGATACTTGTTTGCCAGGAAATATCCTGTGCCACGGAAGGCTGAAAGCATATCCAAAAGCAGATAAATGCCAGAACAAACTTTTTTTTTTTTTTAAACTTATTGAAAAATATTTTCTTAAGGTTTGAGATTTTTAAAGTCAAGTATTATGCATTTTAGTAAGAGTTTTACCTTTACTAAGTAAGTGGTATTTAAAATATGGTACCTACACAAAGTGGCAGAAAATTACTGAATGTTGTTGCACAATGATCAACCTTATACGAGTTCACATCATCTGTGCAGAACTCAGGCACTGGAGTAAGATGTGGTCCTTCCCCTTTCTGCCAAATATACAGGGCAATCTATCAAAATAGAAAATATTTATATCAGTAATGAAACGGGATAAAAATTCTCAGGGCATACAAAGAAATCACATTACAGGGCAAACTTAACAGGAAAACTGAAAAATCTGGGATGCTGTAGAAGATTTGTTCCTTAGTTGATTAACTAGCTGCATACCTTACTTCTTGCTCACGTTTCTAGAGCCAACATGTGATTTTTTTTGCTATAAAAGAAATTCTATAAACAGACAGGTTTTAAAATTTGTTTCATAGAATTACAATTAGTTACATATATTTAAGCATGTCAAAACAACTCATCTTTAACTTTTATAAGAAGTGGTAGAGTAAATATTTACACCTTCTTTTAAAGTAAACAAAAATCTTTACTGTGTTGCTCTTTTTAAATTATTTTGATAATGTGGAATAGCTAGGCCTGTTTCATGCTGTGTAGCAATTTTCAGCTTTTCATTCATTCATTGTCACCATTCTGTGGCGACAATTTAAAATGCTCGAAACAAGCAATGAATCTCCAAGAAGCTGTAAAATACAATGAAGGATAATGTAATAGATATGCTATCCTATAGCAGATTCTTGTCCATTTTAAATGCAACAACAACAAAAAAAGCCAGCCAAAATTCACAGGGAAAAAGGAAGAAGCAAACCAGTGATGTCTGAAGAAGATAAAAAACCCCACAACCTTTGTATTTACATTCAATTCATAATAAAAATAATAATATTTCAATCTGTATTTCACGACACATCAAGAACACTTAGACTTGCCCAACATTTCTATTGCAATACTTTTACACTGCTTATAAGTTTGCCAGACTAAATATTCAGGCAGGAAAGTTCTACACTGGGTGCCTACCAAGACCAGTTAAAAGATTAACTTCATTTTGTATAAAACTGTTCAGAAACTTGTAAGAACAAAATGAAGTTCTTAAAAATCTAAAAGGCAGAAAATAATATCTCAGTAGGTACGTGGATTCAGAGCTTCCCAGCTGCACTGCCATACACTCCCGATTCCAAATGCTTCGTCTCTCTTGAGGATAGGCCAAAGATGTGAAAGCATCTTTGGACAAGAGCTGTTTGAGCATATACTCAAGATGTAGGAGACCTGGGTTCTAGGTTTGCTTCTGCCTCAGTCAGAAGTTACAGCTTCTAGTTTTCAAAAGGGTGCCTACACCAACAAACCATAGATATTCTGGGACAGAGACTCTCCATGCTACCTCAAGAACCTGAGTTACTGTGCAGAAAGCAAGATTCATGGAACTAACAAGATAGTGTAGCAAAGGGGAGCCTGACTCTACTGCACAGGGAGAATGGGACTCCTCCAAGGGAAGAAAATCAGTCTTGGGTTCTAGTTCCTGTTTCCCATGTTATTTACACTATTCCCAATGACTCTTGCATGGAAAACAAATTAAGTGCTTCACTGGAATATGGGACCAGACCCAGCACACACCAAAGGCAATGAAAATGAGTCTCCTTGTCACTGTTTTATGCCTACTTAGGAACTGTTAGCTTTAACTGCCCCCCGCCCCGGCCCAGAATTCAGCTCCTCTTTTAGCAAATAATGTGATCATTAAGCTATTATTAAGAGGGCAAAATATTTCCTTCTCCCCAGTGTTCAGGAAGAACTCGGCACAAACCAAGAGCATTAAGTATGGTCTGGACAAGCCCAAGTCACCAAACCAATTACAGACTTCTAAGTTACAGATTATTATTTTCCTGACCATCTCATTTAGGTCTCAACATCCTCAGAAAATCCCAACTACCTGCACACAGCCATTTCTGAACTTAGAGGGAATAAAATAGAAGGGCCAGTTTGTTACATGCCCTGTTAGGACTGGGGACAGGCTTGAGAATACAGTAATATTTTTGAAACTTAAGCTTCTGGATTTGAAAGATTTTTGATAGCAAACAGCTAGGGTACAGTCACATACTAAAATACAATTAACTGATGACTTTTTAGCAAGTTGCTGATTGTAACGGGGCTGTCATAACTACACATGCGCTCTTAGACCACCTCAACTGCAAAGTAAAAACATTTAGTTTGATTGCACTGAAAAGTTTAAATTACTGTATTTTTCCTTGTAATTGAGCAGATGCAGATGACTGGGAGCTGTAAGTACAAACATGGTCGCTACTACTGCCCAGCTGATAGTGACTTGCTAAACCACTGTAACTCAGCTGCAGGTTCTTTCAATACAACGATGAGTTTTGTAGTTTGCAAGTTCTAATTTCTCTTAGCCTCACCATTATTAAGTGGTCTGTTTCTTTGCTGTTTTAGCAATGCTTCTGGAAACACAGATGATTAGCATTACAGATGAGTTCAACAAAGTATTAAAGGGAAAGGCCACTCTGTAGGGAAGAAAATGCATAAGCGTGAGTGGCAGTTAACACAAATACTGTTGATAGTGCTTGGAGTAGAGGAGGAGTATGGAAATGACATGTAAGACACACATGCTCGTGGTAAGGAGCAGCCAATAAACACACATACACCTCCAAGGTTATCTTTTTGCCTTGTCACCACATTCACATTATGGGATATAAGTGGTTCTTGACCCTGCCTTATAGCTGGAAGACTACATAACAGCAAGGGATGGGATTTCTAAAGTGCTTCCAGTACATTTTAAGATTGTATTAGTTCAAAATTCAGCTATTCAGAATGTCTATCACATGAACCAACAAAGAAGCAATCCTCCTGCAGCACAAAGAATATTTAACAACTGTAACTTAACATGAATTATTTATGAAAGTTCATAATGTGATAAGATTGCCCACTGAATAATGAAATCTTCAATAGAAAGCCTTAGAATGGTGTGAAGCTATCATATTTCCGAAGTGAGGTTAGAGTGCCATTTTCGGTTATAGAACAGGATGACAGACTGTTCCTAAAACAATGGATTTACAGTGAAAAGACAAAAAATATTCTTAGTCTTAGTCCTAGTTCAAATCTAATGTTAGATATACAAAAAATCCATTATTCACTTCCAGTTTTGAATACGCATCAGGGAATATGCTATATATTGTGCAGTTATAAAAAGTAAAAAAAAAAAAAATCTACAAATGAGCAGCAGCATGACAAAAACCCTTTACCATATTTGCAAGATAGGCCTTCCAGATGGACAGTGATATAAATGTTACGGATATAAGAAATAGGGATATGGAAAGTAGTAGGGTCTAAAAATCCTGATACAGAGCACAATAAAATACCAAGGACTAGAGGTACATGTTATTAGGACTCTGTCAAACTAAAACATTTCTTAAAACGTTTAGCATCCTCATAAATTTAAACATTACACACAATCATTAAAGATCACAGATTATATCCTTTGATTTGTGATTCACACAAGAACGACGTAGAGATAAACATGATTTAAGAAGGAGAAGATGGCGATTTATAAAATAAATGAGGGGGAATGGAGATGTCTCTAGGGAAACACGAGACTGCAGAAAGAATAACTACAGGGCTGAAGTAGGTTATCAATGGCAGTAAATTTGAAATGAAACATATGCAAAGAACTGCTAACAGAATAAGAAGTGGATGGAAGTCATTTTGCCAGTCGAGTGATCAATTGTTTTTCATTGAGCAATCTGTGGCACATAACAGAAATATCTGCTAATGAATTTGGTTTTTTTATGACACTATGTTTAAAGGCTTTGTCAGTGCTGAGGTAGACTGGAATATACGAATGACTTTGAGGTAGCTTACAAAAAGATGATTAAATTGTGAAGCCCAAGGTCTTGCATTTAGAAAAATTAACAAGAGGAAAGAAACAGCTTGTTGGCTTGTTTCACATAGCAAAATGAAAACTGAGAGGTGTCCAATTGCTTTGAGAAATACATCAGTCAAGGAGGGGAAACCATGTGAAAGAATAGTGTTGGCACAAAACCAAATTCATTTAAATATGCTACCAATTTATACTCTATAAATACACTGTAGATTTATATTGGAAATGAGGAGCTTTATAACCATTACAGCATAAAGATCTGGAACAGCAGCAACAGTTTTAAATAAGGTGGGTTTTTTTTCCTGGGCCAGAACCGTGATTTATAGCTGACTTTCAGAAGTTTTAAAAAATTAAAATTAATTCAACATCACTCATAATTTCAGGCCAAAATCAGCAAGCTTATTCCAGATTCATCCTCTCCTTCCACCCTGGTTCAAGACTTCACTTTGGTGACAGCAGAAAATCGTGGGCTGCACAAACATTTTGAAGGCAGAAAAAATAAAAAAGCTTCAGAAAAGGTAGCACTGATCTTCTTTCAGATCTTCCCACTCCTTTCTTCTCCTATTCCTTTCAGTCAACTCACTTATTCTCTGAACGACCTAGTGCTACCTTTTATAACCGTTGCAAACCAGAGACAAAAAAAAAAATAATTCCAGACTTCCATGCTGCAAGTTGCTGAGTTGATTGTTCACACAACAGTTTGGTTTAAATACGTTGAGGAGACTAAGTCCATCATATTTAGCTCTTAAGAGTCTGATTTAGAAAGTGAGTGAGGCTGGCTAGTATTGGAGACACTATTCATGTCAGCTTAAGCTTCATGGATTGGAAGTCTCTCTCCTTCTTTATAGAGCAAGCCTTAGAAGATACCTCACTGTATACAACCATGTATGTATTCATATATGAATGCAATTTTATTCCTGAATTCTTCTATGCTTGAAATATAATTTTAAAGTATTACACTATTCATAAGGAAGGGAAAGAAATTAAACATGCCATTGCAGTCAAACTTTTTAGCAATGTCGAAGAAAAATCTGTTATTTCCATTCTTATTTATCATCATTCAAATACCTAGATTTGAGACAATTTTTTCTTTCATCACATCACTGCTTACCTCATGCTTTAAATCTATCGTAAAGTCGGACTTGAGTGGTTCACTTTTCAACTTCTTTGCAAGCCTATATGATTAAAGATGAAGAAATTTACTCAAAAAACATATTTAAAAAAAATTCAATCGCTAGTGTATGCAGCAAAGTGTGGCTGATATTATTGACCATCTTATAAGTGGGGGGGGGGGGGGCAGGGGGGGGGGGGACACTTCTGTATTTATTGCCCCAAGAAGCAACGTATATTTCTTTTTCATATCTTTTTTTTTTTCATCTGAGCACAGTGTTATGATTTTAATAGTAGTTTTCAGCACACACATTTTGATACATTCTTGCTGCCCAAGACGACAGTTCTCATCTGGAGTAGATGGAGAGTCTGGCATAACATTTTCAACAGATTAAAAGCAGCAGTGCATTTGAAGCTCAATATTGATCAGCATCTCAAACTTCAGACAATATTCTCTTTTTGTCTATTCCAAAGCACAGTATTTAGGCACCTTCAATTTATGAAAACATCAATCCTTGTTACAGCAAGATGCATTCAACTTCTGAAATCTATGAACTTTTCAAATCTCATTTAAAAACTAAGCATGTAGTCTGAAATAAACATCTAGGTTGTCTCTATAGCATGAGAAACACTTGTAGAGGGCAATGCAGTCACTCTAAGATCCAGGAATAGAACTGCTGCCTGGGGGAGAATACATTTTTAAAATGACAAGAGGTGATATTAAACTAATTGAACGACTAGTACTGGACAACTATTAACTAGCTGACATGACATTAACTTTTAGATAGGCAGAGTGAAGCAAAATAAATCACACGCACAGCAATGATACAGAAATCTATTTCTCTACCTTTGTCTACTAATGAATTCTGAAGTGATTATTTATAATAATTATGCTTGGAATGTGTAGATTAAGAAAGAAATGGAATTTCATCAAAGGAGTACTTTCTGGGTAAGTTTATAGTGGGAGCACAAGTCTATGTAGGCGTACCCAGAGCTAGTTGTACATTACTGTGCCTGGTTGAATGTCTTGCTATGCACCTCAGATCCTCAAACTAAAGTAGACTTACATGTATCGGCATGGCTGCCGATAATAGAGGTGGCAGCAGCAAAAGCTCAGTGTAGGCTCTGAAGTCAAATCCATGAGAGGCCAGCCTGCACTGGTTGAGTACATCCCAAGCTGTCTGCCACAGTTAAGCTGCAGTCAGCAGCTTCAATTCAAAGACAGCTCAAAATTAAAATTTGACTTTGCATATCTACATGATCTGCAATCAGACCTTCAACTGTACTGCAGGAACACCTTCATCTTTTATAGAAAATATTAATCCATATGAAATTATAACCATTAAAATAATATTGATTAGCATCTAGAAAAATTGTATAAATTAAATTGTTAATTATTATCAATAAAGAAGAAGTGATTAAAAATTCAATTCTTACTTGTTAACAAGTGGAATGCTAAGTGCCCAACCAGCAGCAAAATCTGGAAATTTGAAGACTGTAGGATTTTCAGCAAAGGCATAATGGTGAATTATTGTAGATTCTTCATCATATAATGCTTTACCTAAAAACCACTCCTGTAAAGGAATATAGGAAACAACTTTGTTCATCTACAGCATCCTTTTAGTGAAGATGACAACTGCATTCATGCTGAATACAGCAAACCTGAAAACAAAAACAAGGGAAGTGTATTGTTCACAATAATCCGGACAAAAATTGTACTTGGTAAGAAATGAAACTAAAGGCAGTTCTCTGAATTCAAATACACACTGTATTTTCAAACTCCAGCATATGCCCTGGATTCCACCTGTTCAAAGGGCACTGAATCCCAGAATCATAGAAGGGTTGAGGTTGGAAGGGGCCTCTTGAGATTGTCTAGTCCAATCCCCCTGCTCAAGCAGGGTTAGCCAGAGCAGGTTGCCCAGGACTCTGTCCAGTCATGTTTTGAATACACTCCACAACCTCTCTGGGCGACCTGTTCCAGCGTTTGACCGCCCAAACTGACTACTGACTAGACAAGACACTCAAAAGCATTGCATTCAGGAACTTTATATATATCCATTTTGAATTTCCATCTGTCTAGCCTCTTTCACACTAGGGAACTTAAAAAGCAAATACATTTTAAATACCTTGATCTTCAAAACAGTTAAATGAAGAAGGTCCCCAGTATGCATTTGTAAAGCAAAAAATTAAGTAGTACTATTATTATTAGAGTTTTAAATAACAATGTTTAAGAATTCACTACTGACTCTGCTGTACCTGAAAAGAATTAACAGACTTAAATACTTCTTTAACATTACCGTCAGTTGTCTTAATCTTTCTGTTTAGAATGGATATAAAACAAGTATACCCCCACATTTTTGCAGAATAAGGACTGTAATGAAGGGAAAAAAGAATATATGTGTGTATATATATAATTAAAAAAAAATATATATATAAACTGCTTTTCAGGCCTACAGGTACAAACAATGAATCAGAATTCTGAATCACCTTAATGGTTATATTAAATCTTTAAATTGTGAAGTGCTTTGCATTACGACAGTAACTCAGGCTTTTCTTTTTCCTGACAGTTTATCAATTCCTGACCATTCATCACTAAAATAGATTCAAAGTTAGGGCAACTGTTTTTTCACAGAAGGTCCTCTTTCTCCACACTCCCTGCCATATTTGATTTTTTCCCTCCTTTAAAGGGGCAGCTATCAGCAACAGTAAAATATTCCTTCAAGGCATTAGCACAGTTCATACACTTCACACGAGATAAATAATTAATTTACACAAAATTCAAGACAAAAAGGAAAATATTAAAGCAAAAGCACTGTAGAAACATCCGGCCAAAGAAAAACAGTCTAACCCCAAGAGGATCTTGCATCTCAGTAGCCATCTTTCTAAATCCAGGCAGATGTTGCTATATAGACTGAGCTAAATTTCATAGCTCCCCAGAGTTGATGAGAAGCAATGAGTGAGATTTGGCCGGGGTGCGGCAGAGTCAGCAACAGCAGAAGAGGTTTGCATGCACCAGGAGACACCTCCAGCCAAAACCAACTAGCTGAGCCTGGCAGGAGCATGCAAGCATGGCTCCCCAGAGGACATTCAGCCTGGCAACGCCTCCCACTTCCAGCCAGGACTCAACCTGGCTCCCCAAAAGGCAATAAAAGGACAGCCCTCAGGAGCTACCAGGGATGCTTCTCTTGCCGTACACACTGAGTCAAAGCCACAGGTGCTGCCTGCTTCAAGAATCCCACCTCTGCAAGGACGGCCAGGACCCATATAAGCAACCACGAGTGAAAGATACGGGATGCCACCCCTGCCAGGAACACTGACTCTCCGAGGGACTGATGCAAGTGTAACATGGTATGCTTGTGTATGTATACGCGTGAGGCGCTGAGTGCATTTCGCATGAATTTTGCGTGTTTCTCCCCTCTACTTTGATCAGCTACTCTCACTAAAACTAAATTGAATATATCTTGTACTTGGCTAGTGACTTCTTCAGGTAACACAAATGCTGAAAACTTGTTTGCTCCCATAATCCCCATGTGCCTCCTGAAGCCGAGATGTAGGTGTTCGGGAATCTGTTGAGGAAACTGCCAAAGTTAAACTGACACTACCTGAGAAGGTAAGGGTGGAGATTTTTTCCCACTGTTTTTTTTAAACACCTTCATAGGAGTTGCTACCTGGTACCTACTTACTCAGCCTTTCATTTATACCTTCAATCACAACAGACCGTGTTTTCTCCTTCCTCTATTGGAAGGATTCAATAGTGTTCACTGGAAGGATTAAAAAACAAAATATTGGGAGGTAGAAGAAAATGGGCAAACATACTAATTTTTATGCACAAAGATGATTGCCTTGAAGGAATCAAAACAATTCTTTAGAAGCATTTGTGCACACCATTTTTTAACTCTTTTAGGGCTTCCAAGGCTTCAAAATGTTCATAACACAAGCACACTATTCTGTTTCAGAAATAGTTAATAAATAGCAACATTTTAATATGGCAATACCATCTGCAGAAAATTTACTTTCCTTTCTCTATAAAACATAGAAAATTAAACTCATACATATACTCTCCTCGGGCTTTCACATAATATTATTTCTGGCAATATTAAGCCACAAATCACAGTGAAGGCATTCCAGGTTACAGCCAATATTCTCCAAGCTTATTTGGTCATAACATTGTTTATTTACTACACTGATATGTAGGACAAGTCAATCTGTGCAGGCTGGCTTTACAAGATTAAATTAGTCCTATGCGAAGGAACTTATAAAGTAACTTAAGGAATGACAGTAATCAAATTGCATATAGGCAAAAATGCGGATTAAAAAAAAGAATGTGATTTATTGCATTATGGATAACTACCATCCACTAGATCAGTTAATATGTTGTGCTTCAAAAATGGCAAAAATCACCTACCTTTAGTAACAGCACTCCAAAGTCTTTAGAACACTTTAATAGCTGAAGGAATGTGATGCAAAAAAGAATACCAGACCTCAGGGAGGGCAGAGCTGACTTTACCTAACTTGCTAATCAAATTGATTCTACCCACTCACTTTTGTATCCACTTACAAATACCAAGACAAGTGCACCAAATTCATCTGTTCAAGACTTGTGTCTGACACAGAGGACAGGAGATTTCGTCTGTCACATCCCCACTGTGTCTTACTACAACATCTTACGAGTTCTTAATATTCTCAAAGACAAACTGTTCTTTAGACAGATCTTTTATACCCTTTAGGTATCAACAGCTACTAAGTCATTGCTGCCCATCAGCTTGGTTTACTCATGCTGGATATCTTTGGGGCTGTAGTCTATCGTCCTGCCAGGACGACAGGAAGAGGAGTGGCACATACAATTTGGTTTAACCTTGCTGCCATCTTCCATTATGAAAGCACAGGTTGAATCAATCTGCTGTTGAAACATAGAATCACAGAGCAGTTGAGGTTGGAAGGGACCTCTGGGATCATCTGGTCTAACTTCCCCTGCTGAAGCAGGGCCACCTAAACAGCAGGTTTCCCAGGACCATGTCCAGATGGCTTGTGAGTTATCTCCAAGGCTGGAGACTCCACAACCTCTTTGGGCAACCTGTGCCAATGCTCGGTCACCCTCACAGCAATGTTCAGATATATTTCACCATCTGAGCGCTTGCCTTGAGGCCTTTATGTAAATCAGATATTCCTCACTGTTTTTTAGTTTTACTGCAGTCAATAATGTCCTTGGTTATCAATGCAGGTCATTCTCTTAACATTCCTCCACAGTCTCTTATGATGCTTTCACACATCTGTTTTCATTCAACATTACATATGAGTCTCAATAGCTCTGTTACTAATCTATACATATCCAGACTGAAAAGCTGCAGATACATCAACTATTCACATGCCCCTTGTAGGCCTTTTACTGTGATTAATGTATACCAGCTTTTTAATATGCAGACTACTGACATTTGAAAATGAATAATGAACTAGCTCATTCTGGTCTAACTCATCTTAAATTTTGTGAGTGATGGACTACTACTGTACATAAGGAATCAGTTATAGACTGTTACACTAAGATGATGATTACTATGTACAAAAGCAGAACATTTTATTTTCCTTTTAATGCAGGTTGGAACATAATTTGTTATTGTAATAGAATTTACATGTAATGCAAAGGAGAGATTAAAACTGGCATAAGGGCAGCATCTAGAACAAAAATTTTTGTTTCTATTCCGAGAATGTCAACTAGGAGTAGGTGTTTCTGCAACAGAAATAAATGGATATTCCAAAGGCCTGAAAATATTCAGTCAGCCATTTTGAAGACAGTGTTTAAAAATGTAAGAACTCTGAATTATTATTATTATTATTACCATTTTAGAAAAGAATTGTGAGAAAACACAACAAGGCCATGTGCCTGCAAAAGAAGTAAATATGCTAAAGTGAGATCTGAAGCAGAGTTCAATACTCAGTCAAGGTAACAATAAAGACGCAAAGCATATTTCACACAGGAGATTTTGGCTTCTTTTATTCCAGGCAAAGGATGGACATCAAGCTGAATTTTTTTCTGAACAGTGAGAATTCTAAACATTAAAAGCTTTTGTGTCAGGTACATTGCCAAACTTACTTTGTTCCTTGGTGACTGCATTTTTCTTTTGTTCTGCAAGTCTTTTGGTGTTGTTTCTTTTCCAGCAGCTAAAGAAAACTGTCTAATCACCAAGACAGTTCAGAAACAGAATGCAAGTAAAATACCCTACTATATTAGATCAGAGACAGTTAGTCAAACTAACATCAGTCATTCTGTCTGATGATAATCAGAACTGATGACAGACAGGAAAACGGGGAGAGGGGACCACACAGCAGACTATATTAATCTTCTTATTGATGCTACATCATTTTCAGGCTATCCACAGAAAGAATCTTTTCTCTGCTCAATTTTAACAGTTCTTCAACAGCTAGACAGGCGCTCATACTGCTTTGTGTTAAATACCTTGCTCACTCTCAGCCTCAGCAACAGAAATCTATCCCCCTATTTTAAGCTGTTTGGATACATCTTTTCCAATGTTTGGAGCTCTGGGCCATCCAGGCGGTGTTATAAAACTAAATTCTGGACCACAGAAACTGTTCCGTAACTAGGAATTCTAAAATTCTGTATGTATAATTTTGTACTTAAAATGATTCCACGTTTCATCTAAAAATCCATTCAAACACATTCAAAAGAAAGTGAAGTATCTGAATTTTTATTTCACCTTAGACTCGTCAAATCTTCCAAGTGTTTCTAGCAGCTTTACAACTTGTATTCTTGTATCTTCTTCACAGAAGAAAATCCATGAGGAGTTCCTACCATAGGTAACAGAGAAGCTAACAAAAGAAATTAACATTTTACTAATAAACTGGCTTATGAACAGAATGATAGATTCAACACACATTCCCCAAATATAAGTACTTTGCAATCAATTATTCATTTACACAGAAACAGAAACTTTTAATACTTAGAATTACATATCAAAGGACTACAGTGAATGGATAAAGATATTGCCTCTGCTGCTATCTATTTATATAGCACCAGTTATTCCAGAAAGAAGGGAATAGAGATACATAAAGAATGTCCTCTCAGAAATGCATAGGTACTACGGTCTAATAGCCACCTATGAACTCAGAAGTTGACAGACAGCAGTCTAAGCTACCTTCCCCTCTGTACCTTAACTCTCTTCCAACGAGCACCATTGTTGGGCATCTAACACCATTGCAACAATCATGAAAATGCCTCATGATAGGTTTTCTCACAGCTGTTTGACACTGATCATCCCCAACCTAAAAACTTTGTTAGCTTTTTCAGTACACTGAAAATACACAGATTGAAGGGACTCCCCTACCTTCCTCAAAGCTAACACTAATCTCAACGCAAGATTCCTGGCTCCTTCAGAAAATTCTCATTCCTTATTTCTCTACTCCTCCCAGCTTAATTCTTCCACTACTTAACAAAACAAAGCCTTATTAATTCGTGACATCCTAATGGAAAAAAACCCCAATCTTTACTTGTCCAGTTTCCTTTGCACAGCTTTTACATTGATTTAATTAAACAAATCATCTGAAGAGAGGGATAAGAAAATTAGCACCTATAAACATCACAGATTTCTTCCTCTACAGCATTGCCTACTGATAAAATTAGCAATGAAAATAAACAGCAGAAATGTAAGTCAGCAAAAATAAGTAAAAAAGGCTGATAGGATCATTTATGTTTTAGGGAATGGTATTTGCCTAAAAAAAAAAAAAAAAACAACCAAAAAAACAAACCCACTATCTGAGAAATACTTATGCTACAACATGCGATGCCTGCCTCTGCAGGTCTTTTAATTACATGCTAGAAGCACCAGATGGTTGCCAGGTGCTAAACTAGTTCAGTCTTTTTTCATCTGGGACAAGTCATTGTGCTGGTTTTGGCTGGGAGAGAGTTAATTTTCTTCACAGTAGCTAGTAGGGGGCCATGTTTTGGATTTGTGCTGGAAACAGTGTTGATAACACAGGGGTGTTTTAGATACTGCTGAGCAGTGCTTACACAGAGTCAAGGCCTTCTCTGCTCCTCACACCACCCCACCAGCAAGTAGGCTGGGGGTGCACAAGAAGCTGGGAGGGGACACAGTTGGGACAGCTGACCCCAAATGACCAAAGGGACATT